AAACAAAAAATCGGTTTTTCACAAAATCCGGATTTTAATCTGCTATGGAATCGACCGTTTTTACCGGTTGAACTCCAAAACTGAACCGGCCGGTTTATTATCGGTTGAACTACGTACGCATTAAACTGGCCGATCCGGTTTTTTCGAAAAGCTTAACCGGCTGGTCCGGTCCGGTTAGGAAAAATTCAACCGGTTCCAACTCTGGTGTTGTGTCTCTCTACTTATACTGAACTCTAATCTAACGATATCTAACGACATAATATTTTACGTTGACAGTTCAGAACGTCAACTGTTGAGATGCTGGGTATGTCTGAATGGGCCTTTCCAAATCTGGTCTCTATGAACCCAACATGAATCTGCAAACCAAGAGATTGTAATGTGGTCAGCTTGTGAGCTCATTGAGTCACACACATAAAAAGATTTTCTTAGCTATTCGACAATTTTTACCGGAGTTACAGAAGTTAAACTGATCAGTACAGTGAACAATTCGAACAGCTCATTGAAGTCTTCGTTGTTTATTGCCTACTCTGTAAATTCTAACTGAATTTGAGCCAAAATGAATGCTTTTATTGAAAAAATGCCTGAAGTGCTTCCTTTCTGATGTAAAAGAGAAATTTTCTCACCGACATAAATGCCGATTTAAACTTTTTCCCAATGACAACATGACGGTTGTAATCGATTAAAAAAATTATTTCATATTTGAAGAAAGAAACTAGTGAGATTTGCGAGATGCTCAGTTACAATTCAAGAGTTCCATTCATGCTTAACGGGTTCATTGGTCATGCAAGATTTTAACTGTAACAAATTTAGTTATTGTATACTCAGTTTTACATATTGAATCAGAATAAAACAGCTTTGAAAGTTAAAAAGAAGGATAAAGTAATAATTTTACTTATTATGAAGATTTATCAGTTTTTAAGAAATTTTAAAAATTCGTATAAAAATCGTTTTACAACAATTCAGATTAAAGTTTTTCTACCTAACTAGATGAGCTCTAGTCAACTATGTCTAAATAAAACAAAAACAAAGTTTTATTTGGTTTTTGAATTACTGGTAAGGCGTCACTAATTCGAAGTTATATTTTAGTTTTAGCTTTTTTACATACCATTCAGTAGAGCTGGTAGACCTGATCAAGAATATAGTAGTTTTAATCTTCCCAGACCGAGTTTTCAATACAAGAGATTCAAAAACTTTGGGAACCCAAATTCTGAAAAATCGTTCAGTCACGAAAAGTTCAAATATTTTTTCCTGATTTCAGTTTGGAGGAGGAATCGAATGGTATTCAGAGGCTTATCAATATAACGTGACTAAAAAAACATTCGTAATTGGATGAACCAGAATGGCGCAAACATTTTTTGCAAACCTATCTAGTTTTTTGTGGCAACATCTGGAATCTTGATTCACATGCCATGATACTTTCAGAGATAGGTTTCTGACGGGACGGTATGCTTAACGGATTATTGTTATCTTTTGATGTACTTACTAATTTTTGATAGTATTTTTCAGCTTTATCTAATTCACCCATTCGAAATAAAGCGTTACCTGGTTCAAGTAGATTTATATTTTTGTCTGCTTGTTCTTTCATTGATTTATAAACATCTTTCAATGGATAATCTTGTTCACTACATAATTCTAATTTTATTATCCAAATTTGTTCTTTTGAATCATAATCAACATATTTTAATTTAAATAAAGATCCTATCATAAATAAGGACTTCATTTTCACCTTTAATAGCAATTAAGGGCCCCTCCCCTCAGAAATTATCTCCGACACCGTACATCCAGTCTTGACGAAACTTTCAATAAATGTTTGACTTAATGAGTTACGGAAATGAAAAACGTTTTTTGTTTCCAATTCTTATAGTTCAGGAGTTTTCCAGAGATCAACGTCCAAAATGGACCTTGAAGTGTTTCTCAAGGTTTTTTTACGTATTTCAAGCTGGAGAGTTTGGATTTGTTTTGTTTTAAGCTAGACATCTAACTGCATGGTCTGACCAGCGCTGTTTTTTCAATTATACTTTTATTCGTTTTCCAGGCAACCAACAACCTCCAAAATCCGGAAACTCCTTTCGGATTTTCTATAGATCCTTAATTTGATGAAAAACTAAGACTTAATTTAAAAGTCGGCGCCGGTCAGACGATGTAGTTTCCTTTCCTCTTTTAAACAAAAAAAGAATAATCTCTCTATGATAAGCCGCTATAAAAAGTCTTGGGAAATACTTTAGGTGTAACTCTTATATAGAGAAAGCGCTGTATTAAACGCTGTATGAAATACTCAATTTTAGAACTTCTAGGAAAATGCTTGTAACTTTTTGATGCAGAGCCATACAGAGTTGTGCGCAGTCTTATTTTGATCAGAAACGTTTGCCAATCTGTGTGTTTAGAAAAATATTAATTGCATTAGTATCCAGGAAAAAGCTATTATCTGAAGATTCGGTCTTTCGAGGCTCCTAGAAAACTTGCGCAAAATCCGGGAAAAATCACTTTTATAACCAAAAGCGATACAGAATCTGAAAGGAGCCACTGCAGACTATCTTCCCATGAGCTTATCTCAAAACCGATGTTTTGACCCAAAATCACCATTTCTGAGCGGGAGGCCCTTAAACGCTGTATCCCAAGCAAATACCACTTATGGGAAAAATCTAGATACATTTCGTCTGTAATCGGGCAATACGCGACTAGTTACCATCTAGATTACTAGTTGGAAAAGGGACTTTTAACTAGATGCGTCTGCAGATGCATCTAGTAATAGTTAAAATCGATCGATTATCGGGCGATCAAATCGATAGTTGCAACTAGAAAAAATCTAGTAATCGACCAATTACCAGATTTTCATTGTCGCTACACAGTAGTTGCGATCGAATAAAAATCTAGTAATCTAGATGAATCGGGCGATACTAGATTATTTTTTGACGCTTCGGATGAAATACTCAATTTTAGAACTTCTAGCAAAATGCTTGTAACTTTTTGATGGAGAGTCATACAAAGTTGTGTAAGACCTTATTTCGATCAGAAACGTTTGCTCTACAAATCTGTGCGTTTAGAAAAATTTTAATTAAGAATCCAGGAAAAAGCTATTATTTGAAGACTTGGTTTTTCGAGACTCCTAGAAAACGTGCTAAAAATCCGCGAAAAACCACTTTTGTAACCAAACGCGATACAGATTCTGAAAGTAGACCCTGCAGGCTATCTTTCCATGTGCTTATCTTTGACCGAAAATCACCATTTCTGGGGGGGGGGGGGGGGGGGGGGGGGGGCGTTCA